CCGGCCCCGCCCTCTTCTGGCCCATCGAGCAGCCTTGTCGCATTACACGCCTGACTACGCTTTGTGTAAATTAAAACTGCTGCCGGCTGACGCAGCCCCCTCCCCCTCCTGCCACACCCCCTCCCTCCTATCACTCCCCGCTCAGACCCCTTGACAAGCCCCAGCCACCCACCGTGCCTGTTGGAGCTGCACTTGGCGTAAGAATTGCCCGCGATTTTTCTCTTTCTCTCATTTTTTTTTCGATTTTCATTTTCATTTTCTTTTTTTTGTTGTTGCTTTTTTTCAGTTTGCTATGCACAGGATATTAATTTTTACACCATTCATTGATTTCGTTAGCGCTTAATGAACATGCACGATATTCGCCTCTTTTTTTCGACAACTGGGCGTGGCACTGGCGTGACCATACAACTGACCGACTGGACAACCGGGCAACTGGACAACTGGACTGCCCCGTTTCCGTATCCGTTTCTGAGCTTTGGCATTGTCAATCCATTGAACCTGCTCGAAAATACCCTGTAAAAGAATGAAAGCAATTCGGCATGACCTCTGCATAGACTCCATAGACTCCATGTAGAGTAGAGCTAGTCTGGAGACAGAGGAAGAGATGGAAAGGTCAAGTCTAGAAGAAGAGAACTCGCCTGTTGAACTTAACTAAACTTGAGCGAGTCCCAGCTTATGAAATATATGGGATATTTCTGTATGATCCCAAATGAAAGCGAGAGGTGGAAAAAGAACAAGGAAAGAGGAAGAAAAAGATAGAGAGGGACATACATATAATAAAAGAGACAGAATAAGTAGATAGAGGGACAGAGAGCAACATAATAAGAAAGGAGAATGAGACACAGAGTTAGAACGAGAGAATAAACGAGAGATAAGAGAAGGAGAGTGAGCTAAAGAGAAGCAGAGATACTAATAAAGAGAAAGAGAAAGCAGACCCGAATGAGAAAGAGAAGGCGAGAGAGAGAGAGGAAGAGATACGGGGAAAGAGAGAGGAGAGGGCGAGAAAGGCAGCCAAAAGATACAGAAATAGAGCGATAGAGAGAAATGAAAAGATATATACAGTAAAGAGATAATGAAAGAGGGGAAGGCGTACATATTTTTCTCTCCTTATCTATGATTTCCTCTCCTTTTCTTTTTGATCTCTTTCCCTCTGTTTGGGTCTACATTTTAGTTTATCTTTCTATTCCTCTCTAGATTTATATAATTGTAATTATGTGAAAAAAATATAACAAGTATTTGTAGCTTATATAGATTCGGGTAAGTATTCGAAAAATATTTGTAATACTTTTAATAATAAAATCGTGCAAGGCTAAAACTCTAAAACTTTAGCTCTAGTCGTTCATAAATATAATTCATAATTGGTATATGTTATTTGTCATTCATGTGTTATCATGAATATATCAGATATGATATGAAAATAAATATGATATATGATATACATGATAGATCCAATGAATGTTTTTCATAGTTATATCTGATTTATCCTTTATTATTTGTAGGGTATGTAGGGCTTTATATATAGTATATATTTAACATATTCATATACTATATTGATATATGTCTTGCATATAATCTTTGTTTCCTAGTTGTTGTTGTTGTTGTTTTTATTTGGGAAAATTGAAATGTATGAATTTGCATGAGTTTGCAAATTGGCTGCACCACAAACAGCCCCGCCCCTCAAACGCCCCCCATGCGCAACCGCAAAGAGCGTTGAGGCAGAAAAACTGCACTGCCAGCCAATCAGAGACGAAAAAAAAAAGACAAAAAAAAAAACACAAACACACACACCAAAATGAAAAGTCGAAAAAAAAGAAAAGAAAAATCGAAATACATATGAATACAACTAGGCAAAGTGCAATTGGATGTAAACGACTACATAATACCCTATATGTACTATACTTATAACCTTTTTGACAACACGAGCAGCAGAATATATACTCTATACACCCCATTAAACAGCCTTATTGATAAGTAAGTATAGGATATTATATTGTCACATATTTCATATTAAATATGGCATAAGCTAAAATGAAACAGATTATTGCAATCTTTGAGAGATACATATATGCTACAATATTCTATAGAGCAGAATATATATGTAAACATTATTTTATTTCAATATATATTGAGAACATATTCCGTTGCTTTTGGGCAAAGAAAACTACTAGATTACTTAAACGAAACGATTCACAGGATTATATATGTATATAAATTTTGATATAATTCCTGAAAATTAACATTCAAATCTTAAAATATAAAAGAGAAATGGAATATTGAGGACAACTTTTAAACTATATACAATCCCTAGTATTCTAATATTTCAAAGAAAATCCCAAAAGAGAAAATCCAAAGATCAAATGAGAATGCTAGGGGAGGAATAGAGTATTCCCTGAGCTCTGTGCACTTGTTTTATGCCTGTGTATATGGACTGCTTTAGCATAACAACTATGGTAAATGAATTTTCAACTAGCTCATGTACTAGACACAACTTCTTAATCGAATCAAAGTGATCCAGATATCTACTATCTACTATATGAAATATATATTGGGTGGCTCGAAGAAAGATATTCAAAATTGGTCTATTCATGGGAGTAAATATGCTATCCCTAGATATAAATAACTAGATCAAATGAACTATTATTATCCGATCGCATAAGCTTGGGATGAATTATTAATATGACATGATGATAAGTCTGATATAAAGTCTGGTTTAATTTTGTAGGATGAATAAAAATAACAAGGGATTTTAGTTCGTATAATATAAGATATATTCAATATTCACACATATGTAATCTGAGGGGGCCATTGTTTGGATGACGGTAGACATCCTCTTCTATGCACTACCCAAGCATTATATGGCAGTGCATTTCAAGCTTTGGTAGTGGGCGTGGCTTCAATTTCACCTAATCAGAAACGAATATAATGCCAATGCCAAAACGAATATGCCCCACTTGCTGAACGAACAGAGCATCGAATGCATAAAGTGTTCAGATTCGCGTACAGCTGGCGGCCCAAACAAAAGCGTCGATAAATAGCGATGCAACAAAAAGGAAGACTGTGGAAAAAAAAAATGTAACAAATAATCGACTTGTTTGATTTACGAGCAAACTCGCAAATTGGGGGCGGTGGCAGATCGCATCATTGCGGCATAATCGCAATCAAAATAAGTAGCTGACTGCTGGCTATATCCAGCCCCAGCCCCAATCCTCTGCACAGCCCCAATCCCAAGCCCAGCCTCCAGCATTAAGGGAAATTGAAATTCAACCTAATTGCGGAAAATTTACAACGCAACTTAACAGCTGACAGATTTCGGCTTTCGCTTGGGGTTTTTGTTTGCATCAGTGACAGTGGGAGGGGGAGGGAGGGGGGGGGGGGTGAGTGGAAGTGGAGGCTGTCTTTGTGAAAGGTTTTTTTTTTCTTCGTAATAAACAAAAGGGGCATATTGGCTCGTTGAGCCAGGTTACATATGCTCATAAATATGTAATAAACTATTGTTCTCCATATTTTTGTAGAGTCCATCTAAAGAACAAGCTGTAAGGAATAGATGAAGGAGTCTTACAAATATTTGGGAAAAGAAAGAAGACAATGCTCATTCAAAGGACAGATTGCCTTAAAGAGCAATATGGCTCAAGAAGCAGCATATGATAGAGTAATGATAGTAAAGTCGAGTCCCGATAATCCAATTCAAGCTATCGAGAATTGCCGAGAACAAATCTTGTTTCGAGGGAATAGAATTATCTTCGACTTATCGCAATTATCGCAATTTTTACAAGAACAAGACTATGTGTATTCAAAAAACAGAAAATAATAGCCAATATGCCCTGAACAATAGTTAAATACAGAGTATTTGCAAGTCACGTGACAGTATATAGAAAATATTGCTTATAAGGAAAGGAAGAAAGTTCAAACCAATACTCCCTAAACAACAGTAAGGAACAGGGTATCTGTTAGTCATGTAACAGACAGTCGAGAGTCTTAAGTAGGAACAATTAAATCTTATATACATGTAACTAAAAGACAGAAAAACCCTGATTTTTAGCTTTCATTTTAACTATGCATTACTCCTTAAGCAGCAGTAAAAAAAAAAACAGGGTATCTGCTATTCAAATGACTCGTGCTACTAATGTGAACGAGCATCAGACAGTCGATTGCGCCCGACTGCAACACTCTAACTTTATTTTTACGATTTTTTTTTTCTGCTTCTTTAGGGATGGGGGAGGGTATTCATAAATCTTGGCAGACGCTCATAATTCATGCAGCACTCGACGATTGGCAGGCCCGATGGGCGGAGGGATTTGTTTGGGGTTTGGGCACTTTCTTGGCAATAAGCTCAACTTGCTTTCTTACCAATGACAACGCGCAGCAGCCAATGACAAGCAGAGTGAAAAAGAAAACCAACCAACAGTTGGGGGTGGGGCCTTAAGGGTTAGGGCATTTCATGAAGTGGGTGGGGGTGAGACGGTGAGAGAGATAGAGCTTAGTTGAGCAAACAATGCACAAAAAAACATTTCTTCGCTCTGGCCATATTTCTTCCGACGGCTGACAAGTTGTAAAGTGCATGATGACAGCTTAAGCACGATACCAACAATTAATAGATTCTTTATTTATGGCGGATTTTCTTGCAATCGTTTTTGAATTGTTATATAAATAGCAGATCAATTTCATCAAAGGTATTTGCATACATATCAGGACCATATCAGGATCATGATATACTATTTATAGTTTGATAAGCATTACATTATATTTGAAAACGACAAAAATAATACAAATAAAATAAGATGGAAATAAATTCAAAATTGTTTACGCGCCCTCAAGATAAATCTGAGAAACGCCATCTATTGACGCGCCTGCCTCTGGCACCATCTATTGAATATCTACACTCGGCAGCGCCATCTAGCGAGCATTTGCACACAGTTCTGTTTTTACACTACAGCTGTAACTACCAACATTATCGGCGCAGCGTTTGCTAGCTATCGATAAGCTTTGGCGGAATTTTCTGCAAATCAAAGAGCTATTCGCACCACTAGTGTTAACCGTTATTGAGGCTACTTTTTGCCAACTCATTTTATTCCAAATTGTTGTATTCAGCGGATTGTCGTCATGTATTTGTCACTTATTATTTCCATATTGTTCAACTGTATGCGCCTGGCTCTAGGCGCCATCGACGACGATTGCCCATCGCTGGCAAATGGCGACAACTTGTCGCAGACGCAGTTGCTCGATCGCCTTACACATGGCTGTCGCTATGATCGCCTGGAGCGTCCCGTTACTTACACCGAGGATGGGGCACGTCTGCCCGTGGATGTGTACATGCGCGCCTATATCTATTTTGTACAGAATCTGGAGGCACACGATTTGCAGTTCAAAATATTTGCCCTGTTGCAAATGCGCTACTTGGATCCCCGACTGAATTTCCGCCACGTGGCACCCAAGCGCTTGCAGCCCATTTTGGGGGAGCAGCAATTGCGCGACAACATCTGGCTGCCACACATATTTCTGGCCAACGAGCGTGATTCCAGTATATTGGGCAAGTCATTCAATCTATGTTCTAATAATTGTTTCTAGGATAATGAATTTCTACACAATTGTAACAGGCACCAAGGAAAAGGATATATTGACATCCATATCGCCGGATGGAACTGTCATTGTCTCGTCGCGCATCAAGGCCACACTCTATTGCTGGCTAAATCTCAAGAAATTTCCATTCGATGAGCAGCACTGCTCCACAGTCCTGGAAAGCTGGATGTACAACACATCAGAGTTGGTGCTGCATTGGGAACAAAGGCGGCCCATTACATACGACCCAGCATTGCACTTAACCGAATTTCTTCTGCAGCGCTCCTGGTCCAATGAAACGGTAATTAATGCAGACTTGAGCGACTTGCGTCACGGTGCCTTTGCCGGCAATTATAGCTCGCTAAGCTTCACGGTTCACCTGACGCGCGTGGTGGGCTTCTACTTGATGGACTACTTTTTGCCCTCCATGCTGATTGTGGCCATCTCGTGGGTATCTTTCTGGCTGCAAGCGGATCAGGCGCCCCCTCGCATTACTCTGGGCACCAGTACTATGTTGACATTCATAACACTGGCCTCGGCTCAAGGTGACGTAATTTTATAATTTGATAATTTTTAATTGCTTAAACTCTTACGTTGGCATACAGGCAAAACCCTGCCAAAGGTTAGCTATATAAAGGTGTCGGAGGTTTGGTTTCTGGGCTGCACGATCTTCATATTCGGGAGCATGCTGGAATTTGCTTTTGTGAATACCATTTGGCGTCGCAAACGCAACGTGCCCGTTCGAAAGCTCAATAGCCGTCATATTCTTAAGTCGACGCTCTCGCCGCATCTGCTGCGTCGGCGCAGCCATGCCCGGTCGCGATCCTTTTCGGGTATTTTGCGGCAAATGGAGAACAGCTCGCTGGGTGGCAATCAGCCGTTCAATAACTATTTAACTGTCAACTTGCCAATCACGACTATAACAGAAGGGCAAGTGATGAGCCAGAATTCAGATCGCAAGCGCAAGGGTAGTCTCGATATGCTCAGCACTGGTACCACTAATCGCAAGCTGGACGTAAACTTTGTTGAAAGTGCTTTAGGTGCTGCTGCTTCGACGGCTACTGCGTCGGTTTCCAATGCAGTCAGCATGGATCTGCCCGATTTTAGCAGCAATAACAATTTGTTGGGCGAAGAGTTTAGCCATGAGGAACAGATTGCATCTACTGGTTGGACAACGCTTACACCACAAGAAATAGCCATATGGATTGATAATCGAGCTCGTTTTATGTTTCCTTTAGCATTTTTAGCATTTAATGTGTTCTTTTGGTCGTTCGTTTATTGCATTTAAAGTTATGTGTCGTTATTTCTATTTAAACCAAATTGTATGTTTGTTAGTGGTTTTTATTTCTATATTCGTTTGATTAAATTTTAATTGTTTCAAATTCAAATAACCCGCTTTAATTGTACAACACTTGAATCCAGTGTTGGCTAACTAGAAATGTCTTTTTATTCGTTCTGTGAACAGAGATGACAGCTTGTTTGTCTATAGCGTGGCGCGGTGTGTTAAAGCAGTGCAGCTATAGTGTCGACTGGCTTCATTTTTTTCTCAAGACAAGCGTACACACACAGCTAAACAATAACATCGGGGCCCCAAAAACGCTCGTTCGCTCGCGACCGACGACGACGGACGAAAAACCTTCGTCGTGTGAATGGTAAATGAAAAAAAAAGAAAAAAAGTAAAGTGCAATTTTAACCCTACGCCAAAATAAAAAGGAGAAAAAAACTGCATAGAAATTAAGCAACAAAAACATCGCAAGCGAGTGCAAGTGGCAAACATAAACAACAGCAAGAGCAAGAACTAAACAAACGCAGATCGTTGTCTCTGTGTGCGTGCACTAACGTGTGTGTGCGTGTGTGTGTGTGTGTGTGTTACACTGTGTTGTTATTGCATTGGTTAAAAAAAGAACACAAGGCAATTAAAGCTTTTCGGATGCGTGTAAATGCTAACCGGTAAAGTTAGCCGATCTCACTCCCCTTGCCGCTACATGCGCTTCGCCAAACAAAAACAACAGAAACAGCAGCAGCAGACGCCGCATCAGCAGCAGAAGAAACAATAACAATACCGCAAGGCGCAGCGAGCACGTTGTCCTGCCTCTGCCCCTGCCCCTGCCGCCAAACTGGAGCAGAGCCATGGACACCATTTGTAGGCTGTGTTTTCAGACAGCAACGGTAAGTGCAAGAAAGAGTTCAAAGCGTAACTAATAAATTCACACATACACATACACATGCACATGCACAGGCATACGTATGCATGTGTGTATATTTAGTTAGCGGGCGCAACAAGCAACGCACTTTTTACGTGTGTTGTATTTTGTTATTTCTATTGATTTTTTGTCTCTTTTTGTTTTGTGCAGTAGGGGGGGACACGATAAAAATTGAATTTGTGCGCGGATTTTGCACTAGTACTGCCACTGCCGCTGCCGCTTCATTTTGTTGCTGTTTGCGCTGGTGCTGCTTCTGCTGCACCGTAGTCGGCAATTGGGTGGGGGTTGAAAAGCGCGCGCAGAACACGGCGCGACCCTAAAGGCAAAAGTTTGGCTCGCGCACACGCATACACACACTCACATGCCTAAATGTATCTATGCATGTACATATATACAGCGTATGTGTGCGTGTGCTTTGTTGCCTCCCTGCCTGCTCTGCCCTCAACTATTGCGGTCGTTTATTTTTAGCCAACTCAGCCAAAGTTGCTCAAGCCGCCAACTTGAAAATAAAATAAAAATTAAATAAAACAAATATAAAAAAATTGTACGTATATAAATATACATATATCTGTACATATGTATGTATATTGAAAAAATATATATATGTACATATATTTTTACATTTCGTTTGTGCGCTGCTTTTCATTCGACTCCTTTTCAACAAGAGCACAAAACGAAATAATATGAAATAAAACAAAATGACAAAATTCCGCCAAGATTACAGCGGCGTACGCTGCAAGGGGTAAAGTTCGTCGTTCAGGTGCAGAAGACCGTCCTCATCACAAACAAAGACCAGCTTTAAGTTGCTGCACAAAGCAATGCGCATATGCGCACACTTACACAGAAATACACCATACACATACATACAAATTGATGATCGGTAGCAACAACTGTTGCTGTAAGCGTAGCTTTCTGACGTCACGTTGGTGATACCCCGTGCAACGACGCCACTGTGTCGTTCACAGCAAAACAAAACAAAAACGAAAGAATAACAACGCTGTAGTCGGAAAAAAAAAACATGAAATGAAAACAACAAACCAACGCTGTCGTCAGTGTATGTATGTGTGTATGTATGTATGTATGTGTTGTTATTATTGTTTGGTGCTGGCATTTCTGGGCGCACGTGTGTGTGTATATAATATATACATATATATAAATACATACATGTATGTAATAGTATGTGTGCGTGTATTTTATATATGTATATGTATATACATCTGAGTGCGAGAGCTCCTTGGTTGTTATTATTAGGAGATGACGATGTAGGGGGAGCAGTGGAGTCTGCCTCAAAAAAAAAAAAAAAAACAAGCTTTATTATGTACATACATATCATATTTTTTTTTAGATTTTTTTTACCACACACTTTCTTTTTTGCTTTTTAAACGTCACGCCAATTGGAGTCTCATTTCTAATAATCTCTTCTTTTATTTCTGTTTCTCTTTGCTCTAATTACAGTTATTCCAAGTGCCCGGCTATAGCATACCCACGTGCGTGCGTTGCTCAGAACAGTTGACAAACAATTCGAACTTCCATCAAGCGGTGCGAGTGCAGGACGGCGCAGCCGCTTCTGTAGCGGCCGCTGCGGTAGCCGCTGCTGCTGCCGCATCAACAGTAGCTAGCGAGAGCGACACGGTGGCGGCACAGCTGACAAACGGCAGCGCTGTAGCTGCTGTGCTGCAGTTGCAGCAGCAGCAACAGCAACAACAGCAGCAACAGCAGCAGCAGCAACAACAACAACAGCAACAACAGCAGCAACAACAACAACAACAACAATTGCAATCATCAAGTTCTTCCGAGAATCTACAATCGCAGGACGATTCTGAAGATGTAAGTTTAAACAGATGAGCGAGAGTGAGTGAAAGAGAGAGCGCGCGCTAATAGAATTGCACTGTGGTAACAGTGTTGAATAACGGCACAAGCACGCACGCACACTTACTCAGAAAATAACTGCAATATTCCTGGCGTTGCACTTGTCCATTGCTGTCTTGTTATTGTTTTTTTTTTTTCTTTTCTTTTCTTTCCCTACACTGCATATTACACTGGCAGTGAATACACTTGTACACATCCATGTATGTAAAGAGAAATATATATGTATATATATAAATGTATATATATAAATGTATATATATGTATATATATGTATATATTTACGTAAATATATACATATGTACATTCATAGTTCGTTTCCTTCTTCTTTTGCTTGCTTGCTTCTTTATGCTTGTGCCTTTGCCTTTCTTTTTCACACCGCTGCAATGAGAATATTGGCAACAGCAGCAACAACATCAACAGAAAATGCCCTACATATTTTCTGTATGCGTATTCGGGCGTAACAAGTGGTAATAGACGACATTGGGCAGGAGACCTATTGTCTGAACATTATTATTAATTGTGTATTATTTAATTTGTATAAACATATATTCGTAGAAATGCATTATTGTAGTTTTTAATAGATTGTATTCTAATCAGCTGATTACGATATTTGGTTAGTATTCAAGAACTAGCTGCTTGAATGCAGGGTATGCGCACTTCGTTATCACCAACTCTTGTCCGTTTTCGTTTTTTTTTTTCTTTTTGTGTTGCCTTTATTTTTATTTTGTTTTGTTTTTTTTTTTTCTTTTTATTTTTTTTTTATTTTCATTAATATCTGCGCTGTTTGCTTGCCTTTTTCTTGCTTTGCTTTTCACGACGGCAGCGGCAGCAGCAGCAACAACAACGACAGCAACGTCAGAAGCAACTGCGACGCCGACGTCGACTGCACGACGTTTTTGTGCGCTGTGTAAAGCGAAAAAAATTCATTTTCAGTTGACGCTTTTGTGTGGGTGTGCGTGGCACGCAAAAAAAAAGAAAAAAAGAAACAGCAATACACAATTTAGAAAAAATTAATACATTTGCAATAAACAAATACTTCACAAGTCGCAAGTAATTTGCGCATAGGACTTAATTCGCTGCCATTTTGACCGACAGCTTGTTGAGCGTAAGTTAGTTCAGCCTCTCTGGGTGTATATGTATATGCGTGTGTGTAGTTGTGTGCGTGTGTGTCCCTGTGCGTGAGTGAGTGTGACACTTGCAATTAGCAGAGCTTCAAAGCTCTCAACACCAAATTCAACACTAACTGTCTCGCTTCCGCTCTCGCTCTCATTTGACGCAGGTGGATCTGATATTCAACGAGGAGGGCTCATGCCCGCTGTGCAACAAAACCTTCTCGCGTAAGTCCTCGCTCATGACGCACATACGCAATCATTCGGCTGAGCGCAAATTTGTGTGCAGCTACTGCCACAAAGGTGAGTACAACAACAATAATAACAACAGCCCAGTTCATCTGTTCAAGCCGAGCGCAAAGCTTTATTCAAGTCAAAACATACTGTGATCATTCAATATTGAAGCCGAATTGTTCAGAGAACTATGTACATAAATATGTATACATACATGCATATGTGGTATAAAATGTGTATATATATACAGACATACATATTTTATTTACAATTTTTGTTTTAAATTTAAAACTGTGCCGATAAGATTATTTACACACATACATTTGTTGTTGTTCTTTTTTTAAATAAATAAATAAATAAAATGTTCTAAGCCTTAAAATAAGTTCTAACTTAATTAAAAGTGGGGAATCGGGGTAAAATTCATTTTTTTTTTTTTAATTCTAATTTTAGTGTTATATATAGTATACATATTATATTAAATTCTTGATATAACTACTATCAGACTGAGCAAATTCCATATGATTAGAACGAGCATTCACTGTATGTTGGATGTCTGATATTGATTGAAGAACAGCTATGTATAATCTCTGCATCTTCTCTCTTTCTCTCGCTCTCTCTGTCACTCTCAATCTCTGTAGGCTTCACGCAAGCCGCAAATTTGCGCAATCATGAACGCATACACACAAATGATCGGCCGTATCAGTGCGTGGACTGCGGCAAGACCTTCACTCAAATCACAAATCTTAATAATCATCGACGCCTCCACACCGGGGAGCGTCCCTTTGTGTGCAACGAGCCCGAGTGTGGACGCAGCTTTGCGCAGGTGAGTAGCCCAGCTCATCTATAATGTATAGTCACTAATCTATTTGCTTTGGCTGTGTACCCTGGCAGGTGACCAATCTGAACAATCACATGAAGTCGCATCACAAAGTGCAGCAGTACTGCTGCAACGTGTGCAGCAAGAAGTTCACGCAGGTCACCTCACTGAACCAGCATCTGCAGGCGCACGCCGGCGTCACCGGCTACTATTGTCCACGGTGTCCGGAGAAGAACTTCAAGCTGCAGTCGCAGCTGCATACGCACATGAAGACGCATGGCCTGGCCTTTCCCTATGAGTGCAGCAAGTGCGATGAGAAATTTCTGCAGCAATCGCATCTGGATCAGCATCTGAAGATGCACGACGAGTTCAAGTTCAAATGCGATATATGCCCCAGCAGCTTTAACCAGGAGTCGTTGCTCAAGAAGCATGTGCAACGCCATGTGGAGGGTCGCTACCTGAACTGCCCGGTGGCCAATTGTGCCGAATCCTTTGCGGTGCGCCAGCATCTATCGAAACACTTGCTCACCAATCATTCGCATCACGAGCTGCCGCCGCCGAAGCGCTCCAAGAAGACGATCACACTGCAGTCGCCCCAACAGCCGCTGGCGATGATCGGGCAGCCTCTGTCGCTGCAGCACACGACGGGGCAGCGTAAGTGCACTTAGCGTAGTAAATCAGACGACATTTAAATACCCTGTAAATGTGAGGCATGTGTGTTAACGTTTCCCATTGACTTTGTCAACATTAATTTAAATGAATTTATTTAGATATATTTAATGCATACTGAAATATTGATATTAAATTAATTTATTTTTGTTTTGCAGGTGGCAGACCGCCCAAAAACAAGAATAAGACCTCACTGGCAGCCACGGCCATTAAAATAGAGATCAATGAGCCGTTGCATAGCCAGCACATCATCAGCAGTGCCAGCGGCCTTTCCATACACCAGCAGATCAATCAGCATATGCAACAGCAGCAGCAGCAGCAGCAACAGCAGCAGCAACAGCAACAACAACAGCAGCAGCAACAGCAGCAGCAGCACCTTCATCTGCCCATGGGTCAGGCGGTCAAGGCGCGCTTTATACCCACTAAATAGAAGTTAGTTAGACGCGGCGTGCGTGAGCGAGATAAAGATAGAAAAAAGAAAGCGAATGAGTGAGAGTGAGAGATAGAAGAAGAGAAAGAGAAAGAAATACAGATGTAGCTAGCTACTCAGTCGCGTTTTCGATCGATCTGGCGTGGCTCCACGCCCTCCCCTGCCCCTTATCCTAACCCCCGCGCAACTCTAGCAATAGTTAAAATACAAAAAATAATAAGACTAGTTTTCAACAATATGCATCACATATCCTTCAAGCACGTACATAGCCAAACATACATATTTACACGCAAACATGCGATACATAAACCATATGCAAATTATGTTAGCCGATAACCGATACTGATAGGGAAAAACAAAACCCGATAACCGAGTAAATTAATTGCACAAGTGATGGCACCCCCCGCACACACAGACGCCATCTGGCGGCGGCGGCGCGCATCGGCTGAGGCTGCTGGTTCGGTTTAGTCGGCTCCTCGCGCATGACGTGACGGACGCCGCAGCTCTTGCGCCTATTGCGGCTGTCAGCTGGACGCCTGCGCCTAGCGCCCGTTCCGTCACTTAAACAAAACCAAAACCAAATATTTAAAACAAGAATCAAAGCAATATTTAAACAGTTTTTAGCAAAGAAGACAGACTAGTACATTTATACATAAATCATCCGGCAGCAGAGATAATTGGGCAGCACCAGACGAGCGGAGACGTAACGTATCGTCGCACGCATCGTCACGTCACATAATGTAACGTAACGTAACGTTAAGCAACAACAAATGTAACTTAAATCGAATTAAAATCTAATAATTAAGTGTAAAGTAACAAGCAAAGCAAAACAAAGTAAAAGTGCATAAACAAATTCAAATTGAAAAAAAAAAACGCAAAAAAATAATATATATATTAAAAAAAAAAAAAAAAAAAAAAAATATGGTAGTGCAATCATTTACTTACAGATCCTGGACGAGGATTATGCCCTACTCCAACCGGATACTTGCGATCGTAGAGCGCTTTGGCCCCACGATCGAAGCCTGGCGGCGCCGGCTGCGCCTTCTGGGCCACGCCTCCACCTTCGCCGCTAAAGCTCGGCGCCGGTGGCTGCATTAGATAATCCCCACCATGCAAAGCATAGTGCTCGGCCGCCTTGTGGTAGCTGAAGCTGCCATTCTCCGGATGTCCCGTAGTGTCGCCATAGAGGGCATAAAGTACCTCGTTTAGGAAACCAGATGTCGCTGCTGGGCTTGGCTCGACATTGGGCTCCGAGTCAGCTTTGGGCGGAGCGCCACGCTCATTCAGATGGGTGGGCATGGTCGACTGCGAATCGGCAACGGTGGGACGCAAGATCTTCTTGGCCAGCTGCTCGTACGCGTTGGCTGCTAAGAGAGAAAGAGAGAGAGATAGAGAGAAAAGCAAAGCAGTGATGAGAGAGTAGAAAGAACGAGAACGAAAGAGAGAAAGTGAAGCAAATGGAGGTAGTTCCATTATGAGTGGATCTTATTTATTTACGTGGAGTCAACTTACGCTCGGCTGTTCTTTTGGCACCGTGTGCATCCATTCGCTCGAAGACTTTGCCTTTTTCTATCGCAGCCCTAGCAGCTCTGCTACCCTACGCAAGCTTTTCTTTCGAACTGAGGCTCGATTCACGTTCGGGCTTTTGTTTATAGCAACTGCGTGTGTTTATGCTATCCAATCGAAATCTCTGACTTGACTTTTAACTATTTATTTAGTTTTTCTCGATTTTTTTTTGTTTTGGCATATACTCCCCGAATAGTTTTCTCAGAAATTTGTCTGTTTAAAACAGAGACTGTCATTCACCTAGACTGAGTTGAAAATTTTGAACGGGCAGCACTGGAGACGAGAGCTTGGCGATAATAAAATGTCGCCTGTTATCGATATTTAAATAGGGATGGGATGGCTTGGAAAATGTGGGCAGTTAATTTTAAATAAAAGCTCTAGATGGATTTTAAACAAGTAAATATAAAGATTATCCCGAATATGATAATAAATATACAGTTGGACTACGATGAATGGGTTGGAGTTATAGTTTCAGT